TCTCTACTAAGTGCTCAGGAAAAAAATGGAAAATAAATTTTATTGAATAACACTTCCACACTGATCTATAGAGGATACATAAACACTATTCCTTAAAAAGTTTGCAACCCATCAATTGAAAACAGTGCAATATATTATGAGTGGGATGAGAATTACTATGCTTCTGCTCTTACTTTGGTTACTTTGGAATCAATACAGATAGAAATAATTACTATTTGAAAGGCATCTTCATTGTGTCAGGCATTGTGCTTTAAATAAGTTATATTTAAAACCCTCACATTATGCCTTTAAGAAAGACATTATTATTGCTATACACTTAGGCAGGACAAAACTGAGTTTCGGTGAAGTTACAAAACTTACTCAGGATCACACAGCCGGTGAGCAACATAGGCAGAATGTGAACTCAGACAGCTAACTCCGAATGTGGTGTGTTTTGAACAAGACTGAACTGATAAACTGAGAATACTTTTTAAACCAATTCACAGTTTGTGAATCCATGTGAATGTTATTGCCTTCAAAGGATTCACCATTGAAAGTTGTCTCCCTTAATTATTTTTTAACAGCAAAGGATTGTTTATTGACCACATAGCTATTTTCTAAAACTTCCAAGTGACTCTCACTCTTGAAACAATCTGAACTGGGCCTTAAATGGATGTGATAGGCAATCCAAACTGTTCATAAAAACCGTGCAGTGTGTCAATGACATATCAGCATGAGCTCTGTTACATCAGCTCATGTCAAATCCAAGGACCTGGCCTGGTAGGCAGGCTTATCTCAGTTAAGACCCAATCAGAAAGTCAGCTCTTATTCATTATGTGAGTAAGTGAATAATATTAACACTTTTATTGTTTATGATATTATAGTTATCCCCATTTTCTCCTCTATGCCCCCCTTCACCCAGCCTGCCCCTCTCTCCTGTAACTACAGTTGTCTTCTTTAATTATTCTAAAAATAGTCTTCCATTGGCTTAGACAATGTCTTGGAATATTATTCTGGAATTGACTTTAGAAACAGTTTAGAAGGAAAACCTGCCTTACCTGCAAATGATAGGAGGAGTAATTTGGAAAAACCTACTAAAGCTTATAAAAAATAAAACTGCTGTTTTTAAAAATCCATGCCAGGAAATTTACTGGAATTGCAGAATTGATTTAACTAAGAATACTGGTTAAAAAAAAAAAGAGTCAAATTCAACTTTTTCAAAACTCTGAAAATCAACTAAAAGCTGGATTTTTGGATTTAGCAAAAATCCAAAGAGACTTTATTCAAGAAAAGTGGGTGAATCTCAGTAAGAACCATGATCTTTATGATATTTAACTTGCCTAGATTCCATGTCCACTCCTTAGCTCCATGGAAGCTTTGAAATCCCCCAGCCTTTAGCTTTATGGCAGCAGTGAAAACTGACAGCCTAGCAGCTACTGGAGAAGTAACAGTGGATTTAGAGTCCCCCCAAAGTCCCACACTGAGACAATCATCACTATTTGGCCTATTTAGTGTTTCAGAGATGTGTGATCCCAAAAAAGCATACCAAAGTATGCATAATGGGAGCTCCAGAAGAAAAGGAGAAATATAATTGGGCATAAAATTTGGTTGAAGGAATAATAGTCAAAAATGTCCCAAGCACAATGAAAATCACTATGTGAACTATCTGATTAAAAACAAACAAACAAACAAACAAAACCCAACAACTCAATAAACACCAACTGGGTAAACCTTAAGAGTTCCACACCTAGAAACATTATGGTCAAACTATCAAAGGTCAAGACAAAGGGTGAATACTGAAAGTAGAAAGTCACTTTTGACTCATCATGTATAAGGAAGTTAATGTGAACAGGATATTTCTCATCAGAGACTATTATGGCCAAAAACAGTGGAATGATCTATTGAAAGTGTTAAAAAATAGGCTGTCAACCAAGAATTCTATATCTAACAAAATTATCCTCCCAAAATTGGTGAAATTAAAACATTACCAGGTAGTAAAAGATTAAGATCCCTTACCACGAGACCTGTCCTACAAAAAATGTTAAGAGAGTGCATCCGGCTGACATTAAAGACACGTGACACATGAAACAAAGACCAGCAACAGAACAACATACACACGTGTACACATGCAACAGAGTGTGCATGTGCTTTTGTTTCTAACACTTTCCTTCCCTATCTGATTTAAAGCAGATATGTACAAAATCGTACAACTATGCTGATCAATAACTATTTATGATAAAAACTCTCAATACAGTGGGTATAGAAGAAACATTTCTCAACAAAATAAAGGCCATATATGACAAGCCCACACTTAACTCAACAGTAAAAAACTAAAACTTTTTTTCCAAGATCAAGACAATGATGCCCACTCTCATTACTTTTATTCAAAATACTATTGGAAGTCTTAGCCACAGCAATCTGACAAGGGAAAAGAAGCATTCGAATTTTTTTAAAAATAAAACTGTCACTATTTGCAGATGTCATATACTATACATAGAAAAACCTAAAGGCTCACCACAAAAAAACTCCACTAGACCTAATAAATGAATTCAATAAAGTCACAGAATATAAAATTAATGTACAGGTATCAGGTGTGTTTCTATATATGAATAACAAGCTATCAGAAGGAATATTTTTTTAAAAATTCCACTTACAATTGCATCAATGAGAAGGTGAAGGGATTAAGTAAAAATAAACATATATTTAACACATTGACACAGACAACAGTGTGGTGATAGCCAGAGGGTGGGGGGTAGATGGAGGTGGGCAAAGCTGGGGAAATGGGGGCAGAAAGAGACTGTGCTGGGTGATGGGCACCCAACGCAGTGCGCAGATGTTTTGTTGAGTTGTACCCTTGAAACCTGTATAGTTTTGCACACCATTGTCACACCAATAAATTCAGTTAAAAAAAATAAAATTTCTAGGAATAAATTTAACTAAGGAAATGAAAGACTTATACTCTGAAAATTTAAAGACATTGGAAAAAAGTTAAAGATGACACACAAAAAAATAAATGGAAAGACAGTCCATGCTCATGGATGGTAAGAATTAATATTGTTAAATTTTTAACACTACCCAAAGTAATCTACAGATGCAATGTAGTTCCCATCAAAATATCAACTGCACTTTCCACAGTACTAGAATAAAGAATCCTAAGATTTACATATATAGAACCACAAAAAGCCCAAAATATCCAAAGTAATCTTGAGAAAGAAGAACAGAGCTGGAGGTACTGTGGTCCCTGATTTTCAACTATGCTACAGAGCTATAGTAATCAAAACAAAAACAGACACAGAGATCAATGGAACACAATAGAGAGCCCAGGAGTAAAATCATGCCCACATAGTTGATTAATCTCTGACCGAAAAAAAAGGCAACAATATACAATGGATAAAAAAAAAGTCTCTTCAATAAATGATTTTGGGAAAACTGGACAACTACATTCAAAAGAATGAACAAGAACCACTATCTTACACCATACACAAAAAATAAATTCGAAATAGATTAATAGTTGAATATAAGACCTGAAGCCATAAAACTTCTGGAATAAAACATGGGCAGTAAACTCTTTGACATCAGACTTAGCAATTTTTGTTGGGCCAGTCTCCTCAGGCAAAGGCAACAAAAGCAAAACTAAACAACTCAGAAAGCTGTTTTTTGCACGGAGAAGAAAACCATCAACCAAATGGAAAAGCAACCTCCTGAATAAGAGATTATTTGCGAATTGTATATGCAATAAGTGGTTAAAATCTAAAATACATATATAAAGAACTCACCTAACTCAATACCCCAAAAATAAAGAACGCGTTTTTAAAAAATGTACAAAGATCTTGAATAGACATTTTTTCAAAGAAGACACACAAATGGCATGTGAAAAGCTGCTCAGCATCACTAATCACAAGGGAAATGCCATCAAAACCACAATGAAATATCACCTTACACCTGTCAAAATTGCTACTATAGAAGGACCAAAAATAACAAGTGTTGGTGAGAATATGGGAAAAGAGGACCCCTCATACGCTGTTGGTGAGAACATAAGCAGTGCAGCCAGTATGGGAAACAGTATGAAGGCTCCACAAAAACTGAAAGTAGAACTACCATCTGATCCACCAGTTTCACTAATGGATATTTATCCAGAGACAGCAAGAACACCATTTCAAAGAGATATGCATCCCTATGTTTGTTGCAGCATTATCTACAATAGCCGAGAGTGAATAGGTGAAATGATGTGAAAAAAATATATGTATATATATATAAAAATAGAATTATACATACATGTCACACATATATAATAGAATATTACTCAGTCATAAAAAAGAATGAAGTCTTGCTATCTGTGAAACATGGATGACTTGAAGGGTATTATACTAAGTGAAATAAATCAGACAGAGGAAGACAAATACCACATGATTTCATTTATAGGTAGAATCTAAAAAAAACAAAGCAAACAAGACAGAAACACAGAAGCAGACTCACAGATACAGGGGACGAACTCGTAGTTACCAGAGATGGTAGGGTTTGAGTGTCAGGGAAACAGGTGAAGAGGATTAAGATACAAACTTTCAGTTATAAAATAAATTAGTCATGAGGATGTAAGGTGTAGCAGAGGGAATATAGTCAATAATATTGTAATAACTTTGCATGCTGACAGGTGGTAACTAGACTTATCATAGAAATCATTTTAGAATGTAAATAGATGTTGAATCACTATGACTTACACCTAAAAGCAATCAGACATTGTATGCCAATTATACATTCATAGAATAAGATGCATGCAACCTTAGTTGTAAAATATAAATGAATGTATGAATCAACTGAGTCATACTCTATTCCTAGCTGGAAATACTGATGATTATTGTAACATAAGGTTTTTCAAATAATTTTAAAATGTATTATGTGATCCTAAGATTTTTTGGGGAAACAAAAACGAAATGGAAATACTGAGCTGAAATCTTTTTCGGAAAGAAAATACCTGAGAGAGGACTTCCTCTCCTCACTGACTCTCGCCACTCATTTTGCAGCCCAGCGGCAATGCCTTTCCTGGAGCAAGTACGGCTGCCTTCGTGAAAGACTTCTGAGGGTGAAACATTCGCATCTGCTGGAGCTCACGTAGTGTTTGCACGGTTTATGCCAGGCTGAGCAAACACAGCTTTCCTCAGGCTGCGACTGGAAATGAATACTGCACTGACAGGGAGTAGAAGAGGTTGCGGCTGCTTCTAGTGTCCGGCAGCTGCAGTGGCAGCAATTCCGGTGGGTATTCGTGTCCCTCATCGGTCACACATACCACCTGGGCCCCAGCAGAGGCAGAAGCTGCCGGGAGGCAGGGGTGACCCTTCATTTGCTTACAATGATGTTTTGTTGGACTCTTAACACATGTGAGACTCCCATGTTTACAACTAAACTAATGCAGGTCAGCACTGAAAATGATTGCAATCAACAACCTTTCCTCCACTGCCCCCCAGGGAAGCTGGTGAAATTTCACCCCTATCACCAGGCCTTGTTAGTGCTGACAGCAGTGAAGAATTCCTGCACAAATAAAGCCTGGTACTCTTCAGCGAGTGGTGTGGGTGGGCTGTCTGTGGTCACACGTAGTAAAGGGCTCATCAAAGGGAAAAGTGGGCAGGGCAGGAGAAATTGAGGGACTGGAGCTGAACTGGTCGCTTCTACTAGTGCTGGACAACTTAAAGGTAGAGCGTAGCATCTTTAAAGCCCAAACTTCTCAGTCTGATGTACAGATTGAAAAGCAGAGTGTTAGTGACTGTAGCACAGTAATAATTTATCATCCCTCACCATTGGCGCCCCTAGGTAGGGGTAGCCAAAGAAATGAGCTTTGTGAGTTTCAGTGAGACAATAGATACTACGCCCACTCAATTGTCTTTTCTTATTACGCCTTTCAACTTTTTTCTAAAGTATGTGTTTTATTTATGTTTTAATTTATTTTGATAACTATAGATGGAATATTTTCCATTTACATTATAACTATTATTGCCATTACAGAGAATAGGTACTAATTTTCACATGTAAGTATTATAATTATTCATTTAGATTATCTCTCTTGGTCCTAGATAATTGTCAAAGTAATTTATTCATTTTCCTGGTAGGTACATTATCTACACATAATAATTCTCTGTCCCTTTTTCCTGATATTTATATAATCTTCCTCACTGGAAAACCTATTGCCTATTTATTTTAACACATTTTTAAAAATTTTAAGTATACTAAAATATTCCTCATTTGTGAATATTTTCAAACACCTTTCCCGTATTTTTGAGAATACCCTATTTTTTAAATGTGACCAGTTAGTGTGATAAAACACGCTAATCGATTTTCTATCAATGTACTTTCTTCATCTAGGCCACGGTGTTTTATTAACAGCAAGTCTCCCTCTCAGGAACTGACCCCAGTCCACACCCCTGGGCCGCCAGCCCTTCCTCGCGCTGACCTGGCAGGAAACAGAGGAGGAGGGATGATGTTTTCCTGTTTTCACCTCAACCTGGGCCAGAGCCAGAAATCACATGAGCCAGCTTGAGAGATTTAAAAAGAAACAATTAAAAAATAGCAATGTAAGAGGAGAAAAAACCCTATTTTGTTGTGGAGTGGTAGACTTCTATTATCCCTTCAGCAGCAGAGATCCTTCTCTGCTAGATTTATAAGCCCAACTAACTTCCATGTTCCCTCTTACCTATTGGAGCTTTGTTCCCTGCAGATGGCACTGGACCCTTTATTTTAGTCACCTTCAACCTGTAATCTTTAAAAAACTAGGTTCCCAACATCATGAATCCCACTTTGGAACAACTGACACCTGAGGCCTGGTGCCCTCTGTCTCGGGGCGGCGCCGACCCAGCAGGTGGAGTTGCTACACCTGCCAACCTGACACTGAGAAAATTTTCACAGAGCTATATGCACTCAGGTTTGAAAATATTATACCAATTCCTAACACTAATTTCCATAAAAAATGAATTATCTGCTTAGGGTACAGGCTAAAATTTAATACATTTCCAAGTATAAATTGTGCATTCATACCATAAATGTGGTAATAATCCCAACACTTTACATGGTAAAAGTAAGGTATACACAGGAATAGAGTAGATTAATGTTTTCTTCATATCACTTTAAGAGAAGAAACTAATTGCTTTCACTGCCAGACACTGTTTGTGTCTTCACAAACATCCTTCCATTGATTAAGGACTGAGGCCAAGGTCCAGACACAGGGCTGCTGACTCCAGCTGTTGGTTCGGCTGCAGACCACACAGCCTTGCAAAGCTGGGCACAGTGCACTCCTTCCTGCCCCCAAACTCTGTTACAGGGACTTCTTAAAGCCCCGACCCGCTCCATCTGGCGGAAGTCAGACATGCTCCAGGATCAGCTCAGCTCACTTGGTCCTTTCTCTGACTCCTGCAAAATGTGCTTGTCTCTCTTTCCTCCAAACAGCAATAAAATTCATACTACTTTGTCACATGAATTTCAGCACTCATATATATTTTTGGTACCATCCAATTATATCATGATATAATTCTTTATAACTTTCAAAAGTTTCATCAATTAGATTATGTCTCAACCAGCTTCTTTACCCCAGCAGAATCCAACATCAGGTTGAGTGCCTGATACTCAACACTACGTGTGATTAAGTCGAGTTATTTGTAAATTCATAAAGTCTCAAAGCCTGAGGATAGAAAGGAACCTTGGAAGTTCATCTTCTTTACTTCACTGCCCCTGTGCACACCTTGATTGAAGTGAGAAAAAAAACAAAAGCTTATTACAGAGCAATGGGACAATTAAAAGTGTAAGTGTCTATAAGGAAATTAACTATATCTATATAATGTTTTTAACAATGTTTTAATTGAAGCCTACATAAACAATAGTGGCAAGTAGTACACTGCTTTGAAAACTGTTCCCAGGAGCTTTGTGCTTCTTTAAGGTGAGTGAGGGATTTCGGGGAGAATGAAAAGGAGGGGAGATGAGGAAGGTGAAGTCTGCCTTCTCAAAGGGGCCAAGCCGGATGCTTCCACTGTCGTGTGTTTCAGGTGCTTTAGCGTATCAGGAATACTTCTTCCATAAAAGGAGGCTCAGCTGATTAAACCTATTGATAGCTTTAAAAACCACTCATTTGGTTAATCGCTTTTCTTTAAGGAATGAAGAAATCATAGCTCAGCTAGGACAAATCACTGTCTACCTCACCCAGCTTGATGGTGGCAGACCTGAGATAAGAGACGCATTCAGGAACTATTTGTAGAGAACTGGCTGTCTGCTCAGTACCTGCACACACCCTGAGGCATCATCTCCAAAGCAGCCTTGTGAGGACAGAAAAATTTGTCCTCACAATTTCTTGAGTGATTAGATTATCAAGAAAAATATTTATTGTACCTATCCTCTCCCATTCAGGAGAGAGGCTATTATTATTTTGAAAAATTCTGAAGAATGTCTGGCATTTTTACGTGTGTAAATAATTTGTTTAGAAATATTAATCTGAAAGGTTATATGCGCTTCATTCACATACCATTCCCTTTAAACTGGCTTGGCATGTTCATGACAAAGAAATTATTCCCTAGAACGTGCCAGTTGATTGCTACCTGGAGGAAGCCACTAGAGGGCACCAGAGGCCTTGTTCTCACAGTCTGCATCTGTTTGGAGCAGGCGATGCTTTCCAATTCATTGTAAATTCAGAGGAAGTGGGTGGGGAAGCCCAAGGCCTGGGAAAATGACCATAATAATAGTACCTTATGTTTATATAGCACCTTTCTTCAATTAGCTCAGCAAGTTTGGATGTGATTATTCAGCTGGGAGCTTCCAGTGGTGGGAAATGAGGCACAAGGCAAACACGTGGCGTAGGTGGGACAGAGGGTGAGAATAATTCTTATTCATTTCCAATGCCCATTCATTATTTTTACTCTAAAAAGCTGATGTGTGACCTTTCCTGGCTATTTCCTTAGAAACAATAAGAGAAGTCAGAGTCCCAAACTCAAACACATTTAATGGAAAGACTCCTAGGTTTTCCTGGGAAAAAAAAATCGCACTCAGAGCCAAGGAGGGAATCTGAAACAGAAAGATTTTCAACTATGTAAGTGTAGCTATAAGGCAACAAGTTGAATATTACAACTTCTAAAGCACGTCATGAAACAACATAGCCTAAGCAATCCTTCACTACATTTTACTTTTATTCTCCAAACAAATCTCAAACTTGTAAGTCATTCATTTCTTTATCCATTCTTTTTCAAAATAGGATCAAAAATGTAAAGAGAAAAAAATGAACTTGTGTTTCAAAAGCTAAACTCTTGTCTCACCTAAAAAACTACTACCCAGACTTGAATGTGTTAATTAAATGCTGCAGGATGATTTAGTGAGGAAAATCATGACAGAGCGTTTCACTACCAGACAGCATGGCCCGAGGCTGAGTCATCGGCTGAGAAGATTGCTGTGGTGAAAGTTTCCAGTGGGAGTTTTACAGTGACTGATGGGTAACACATGATGAAGACATCTTCTTCCTGCAGAGTCACGTAGGGTCGCACCTGCTCACGAAAGGCCCCACGTTTTCTCCAAGCACTAAGCACGTGACTTTAGCCTCTGAATTGGGATGTTTCATGTTTGCAATGGTTGGTCCCTTTCCAGATGTAAGCCCAACAGATGCACCCTCTAGGGTCATCTGTTTTCACCAAAAACACACTTTTTCTCAAATTTCAGATGATGCTTGAATATGACTTCCTTTATAGTTCAAATGATCTTAACACATGTCTGTTATATAAGGAGTTTCTCCAGAGTGTTAAGGGACTAATAATATTGCAATTAATTTATTTTTGATTTTATGGGAATATACAATTCAGAGATTCTACATGGAAATGGAAAGGAATCAAACCATTCTTTCTCTCTTACCTCTTACTCTCCTCCACAGCATAGTAAATTTGAGAGATGCCAGTGATTTTCTAGGTTTCATGGAAAAAAATATTTATTTTTACTTTATTTATTTGGCTACTTACCTCAAAGGCCTACTTTTCCAAGACTGGTATAGACTGACGTCTATATACTACCCGTAACAATTGTATATCTGCTCCCTCTCAAAATACTGCAAGTATACAGGAACTCACTTTGGAAGTTAGGGGTTTTGGGTGTTAGAATATCTCTTAGCTCAGATACTCAGAATTCAAAGGTACAAAAAGTAAAACCTTGGACTCATCCATGTCATCATCTAACTGCTACTTGAACTCAATGATTCCACAAATTTTAAAGCTAGAAAACCAAGCCACAGCATGGAAAGGTAATTCGCACAAACATAGCCAGTAGGAGACTCAAGTCTCTAACCTAGGTCTTCTACAGTAGGCCTCATTTTGTTTTGATTACTATTTATATTCCACGTGGATTTTTAAATTCCAGGTAATAGCTATGGCAAAGCCAATTTTTCTTAAGAAAGACTATTAATTACTTTTGTTTCATTTCATAAACATTTTTAAGGTTTTACTGTGTGTAGTGTTCCGCTTGACACAGAGATAAAGAGGCAAAGTTGGGTCTTCAAGAATTCAGAATTGGCTCTTGTATTTTCTAACCAATTTGGAGAAAATAAAGAAAAAATTAACGTAACCAGGAAAAATCCACACGCACTATTAAATAAAAAATTGTCATGCCTGTTGGAAGTTCCTTCTTATGATATTTTTCCTCCAGAGTTCTTTTATGTAAATATTTAAAAAGAAAATTTCATCTGAAAGTGATTAAGTGGAAGATTTTATTCAAAATTTGACAGCTTTAGTCATTCCTTTTAATTTTTAAACATAATTTTATGAGAGTAACTTCAAATATTATCAAATTTCAAATTACTTAGCTATCCTATTCACCAAAATTACAATTTCTTACATCACACATATATTATATATCTATTAAAACACGCAGCACATTTTTACTGAAACTGATGTTTGCCAGTTCAATTAATCCCTGACGTCCTTCAAGGTATGGGTTTTATCTTCTTCATCCTTATATCCCATATCACATGTAAAACTCACAAATTCCTGGGAATGAACGATGAAAGACTGGGTCAGTATCTGAATGTGTAAATGTTACTATACAGTCATTCAAGGGCAGAGCAAAGAGATACAATGGAAAATAAAAACAGAATAGAAATTCAAGGATCAACTACACTTAGGTCATTAAGAGAAGAAGTTGGAGAAAAATACAATAAACAATGAGCTGCCATTGGGAAAAGGCCATTGGTATTTTGTGTCATGCAAAACATAGAAAAGTTTTAGAAATTTGGGTTGGCAATAGTGTTAAAGGTTAAAAATGATAGAAAATTTGGTAGTTATTAGAACTATCCATAAATGTTCCAGCTCTCTCTTCTTTGTGGTACACTCAAGATGGTGTTTCCCTGACTTGTTTTGGCTAATGAAATGTGACTGGAAGTGATGTGTGTTATTGCCCATTGAAAACTGAAAGAGCCGATAGAATGTCCCTATGTCTCTGTGGTTCCTCTGCTGCAAGGGCTGAAGCTTCAGATAATGGCTGCTT